GTGAGATAGACCAGGTTTCTCCCACAGCTACTCTGCGTAGTCTCCAACTGATCCTGTAACTGTGACCTGTTACGAAATGGAAACGTCAGGTTGCGCACCGACTTTCAATCAACCCGCCCGCCCCGAACTTTCCTCACTCTGCCTTCTCTTAACCTTACAAGCCGGGGTACAGTAAGTACACATGTTTCGCAGCAGGGGAGCGAGAAAAGATGTAAAACTTTGACAGTTGACACATTCCAAACTTCAGTGTTACCTTAAGATCGGATTTTACTTTGAGAAGGAAGGAACTCTAGGTTCTAAAATCCTTATGGGGCCAAAGCGATGCCATATGTTTCTGTGTGCAGGTACCATTGTGTGTATGTGTGTGTGAGTATGTGTGACATCTGATAACGGCCAAGTCCTGTTGTAGCTTACTGTAGCAGGCTATAAAACCTTCACGCTGTATCCTGCCCCTGGCTTCCTGTAACTTGTAAACATGCACGCACATCCTCGTAAACTTCGCTATACATTAAACTGTCAGGTATGACAACAAAGTAAAAAGGCAGCCGACACATTATCTCGCAAACAGCTCAGAGAAACGGATAAAATTAGTGAAAACACTCGAATGTGGTGACCTCAGGCTTCGGTAACAAACTTACAATATAAACACACACACATGAACGGTCCATCCATCCTGCTAGCTTGTGTAACCAACTCATCACACCCCCATCATCAACATCACCCGAACCCTGTTACATCAGCTCGCTTCCTGAACAGAGGGGCTGCTGGGAAAATGGAGGTCATCTGTTATTGCTTCTATGAGCTCTGTGTGTGTGTGTGTGTGTGTGTGCAGTTTGGCATGTGTTTGTAGCCCTGTGTTTATGTTGTGTTGTGTTTATGTTGAGGTTTCAGAGGGGAGAAGAGAAGTAGAGGCTTGTTAAAGAGGTAACATGAGGTTGAAATGTTCAGAGCGCAGTAGATGAGTCTCAGCAGTGGGTTGCAGTAGGGGGTAAAAATTTGAAACTGCCTAGACTGCATTAAAAACTGCCCAAGGAAACATAAATCTGAACTCACTTTAATAAAGCCCTCGAGCGAGCCTCGTTCACTTTCATCCTCTCTCCACTCTCAGTATGGGTGTGTGTGTGCGTGTGTGTGTGTGTGTGGGTCTTATATTCCAGCTGTAATAAGGCCCAACATCAGTTCATGACCCCCTGTCCAGCTGGATCACAGCCACTGGAAGCTTAAGTGTGTATTTGCATATAACTTTCTATCTCTCCCATCTTCTCCTCCTCTTTCACCCTTTATTTCTCCTCTCTTTTTTAAAATTTTTGTTTCTCTCTAAGTTCACGAATAAGGCCAGGTCTCTGTGTGTTGGCGAACACCAGTGTCCTGAAATGTGATATTATGTGATGACTACTGGGAAGCAATCTCAGGGTCAGAGTGTTGAAATAAACATTATAACTGTATCTCCCCTGAGCTGCTGACGATCAGGAATTCGATATGTGTATTAGGGTGCTTTCACACCTGCCCTGTTGGTTCGATTCAATCGAACTCAAGTTTGTTTGCATCCTAAGTGTGGTTCATTTGGACAGGTGTGAACACAGCAATCGCACTCGTGGGTGCGCAACAAAACAACCGGACCAAGACCTTTAGGAACTTGTCAATTAGGTAAGCGTGCTCCATCGATCTTCTCACTGAGACGCATTATATTTTGTGGTCTGATTAACTTGCGAGTGTATTTCTATTTCTTCCCACATGAAACTTTTGCAGAGCAGATTTTATCAAGATTTTAAATTGTGCATTATTTACATCCATGTTTACTCACTTGCAGTTTTCTTCCTTGCCTTTGTAGGCCGAAATGCTACGCTTCTGTGTCATCACCACTAACAACAGTCAATCAGTGTAATGCCGGGTGTGATGATGAGTCACCTGCATGCTCACTTGCATGTACACCCTCATGTGCATGCTTAATACAAGCAAAACGCCAACCAACCTGTAAAAACATTGCTCCATGGTGTTACTTCAACATTAGGTCATGCTGACTGGAAATTGTTTTCAACACCATCACCAAAAGAAAAAGTAGTTTTTTCAGTCTCATATAACTACTGCAATCATAAAAACACCTGCACTCTGTTTTCCCATAAGCATGGACCACTTGGTATCTCTATCTTCAGCCACAGTTTTATAAACCAAAGGTGTAAAGTGTCCTCCAACTATCTGCCGCTCTGAGCCCAAACCCTGGCTAAACTTCACTTGTAAAATAAGCCAGACAGCGGAGTGCTAAGCTGTTTCATGTGCTGAGCTGCTGGCAGAAAATGTGCTCGGTGGGAGCATCACTGTGGTGCTGGGTGAGCTGATTAGCACCACGTGATAGTGTGTGTGTGTATGTGTGTGTGTGTGCCTGGAATGATTTGCAGAGAAAAACACATCTACACATGCACACGCACAAAGAACCACACAAATCATGTTCACATAATGTGAACTAAATTATTTATAGAGAAAGTAAACTGTTCTCTATTAACTGAGCCCCTGCATGGCAAGCCCTCGTATAAATGGAGCGTGTGTGTGTATGTGTGTGTGTACAGGCCTGAGGGGTTAACAGATCTCCATCAGGCAGTGCTAACTGCAGGTCTTTAGACACCTACAACACACTAATGAGTCTGAAAAGCATCTGTTGTTTTGAAAAAAGGGGTTAAAAGGGCAGAGAAAAAGCTTTCAGGGAGTCATAGCTTTCTTTAACCACTGACCAGAGGTCAGCTCGGCTGCCCTCTCAGACCTTCAAGTTGTATTTCACTACTGAAAAGGTGGTCTTTTCATAAACTGGGCTGTCTGTGCAGCAGAAGGACTCAAATACTTATGACCAGGGAAACAGAGAAAAACGGCTATGGCAGTCACCTTTGCTCAAGAGGTAAAAAACCTACAACTACCAGAATACACTGCACCTCACCTCCCTCTGCTGGGTGACGTAATACTAACTTGGCTGTTTTTCCACAGGAAACAACATGACGTCCATCTGGTAGCATACAAATCTCAAATTACAGTCAAATGGTGATCCCAAATATGTTTTCTAAAATCATATGAGGCGAGAAATAGCCAGTAACAGAATCTCTGGGTGGCACGGTGATGCACAGCAAGAGGGTTCCTGGCTCAAATCCAGGGTGGTTGAGCCCTTCTGTGTGGAGTCTGCTTGTTCTCTCTGTGTCAGTGTGGGTTTTCTCCGGGTGCTCCGGTTTCCCCAACAGTCCAAAGACATGCAGGTTAATTGGTGACTCTAAACTGGCTGTAGGTGTAGGATGTACCCAGTGACAGCTGGGATGGGCTCCAGCCCCCACGGACCCCCAACAGCATAAGAGGTTATCAGCAGTGCTTATTCTTACTGTTTGATCTCAGTTTTTTAAGCCTCCGTTCTTACAATATAGTAAACAGTATAGCGCCCACTTCCTGTTCACAAATTCTCATATTTCAGCCAAACAGTGCACTAAGATATGTCTATGAAGAGATTTCAGGAGGTAAAAAGGCAATACAATAACAGAAACCTGGTTTATATTTGAGCAGCACTGCATAGTTTTACAGTTTGACCTGAGTTTAAGAGAGAAAGAAAGAAGGAGAGAGGGGAGCATCTCTCTCTTGATCCGCTTCTATACTCTGTGTCCGTGGAGGCGGGCATATGGAAATGTGGAATTACAATCTGTAGTTTGAGCAACAGCGAAAAATTTGACATTTGAGCTGAGATATAAGCAGATATATGTGGTCGCTGGTAAGATGGAGGGCAGTTTACCACAGTTCATTCACACATACTGCCCACATCGTTGTGATACAAAGCTGGTTGAAAATCAGCAAAGTATCCCGTTAACTGTTAAGAAGGGAAGTTGAAGAAGATACTGATCAGATCAATGCCTGGAGACAATTCCACCGTACACTCCTGGAGGAATTTCAGATCACATTAGTTCAGCTTTTAAAGGGGGAACTTCCTCACACACTGGGGCTGCATTCATATTAGTTGGTCATTGGGTAAACACATTAACTTTTCTTCAGCTGTTTGGAATTAAATTCCTCGTGGGGCTGAATACACAGATGATGTGTGAGCTGTGTGAAATGCAAAACTTAGGTGAGATAAGTGGAAACGTTGAGTCAACTCACAAATAGAATAATATTTGTGAACAATATGGAGGGAAAATGTATACAGCAGTGTGGTAAATCAATTAATGTAATTCAAATTTAACCTGAATGTTTAATATTTTGATAGAAAAAACAGAGAAATAGAACCTAGTTTAAAAGATGTTTATGCAACACAAAGACAAAAACAACATGAATTGGACAAGTTGCCTTTTCCTCCCCACAATAACTACTTCTTACGTCTAAATTTCCATGCTGCATCAAAGGGCCATCAGGGAAAAGATGATTTGTAACAGCTGTTATTTACCATCATTCTTATCCTCAATGAGCTGGCAATCATTATAAAAGCATTCACCACAGCTTAGGATAAGACTGCGGTTTGCTACTACGACTGCAGCTTACAACAGCAATTCATTTTTCCACTCCAGTAAAGCAGCTGATCCCATTGTTGCAGGTCTGCTAACAGCCCTCACAGTAAGAGCACACAAGGACTTCTTCCACCGGGCAAACCCACATGTCAACTGCAACAACTACATAAATACAACGTTACTGACGGCCTTGTTGGAAAATCCTCCTAATGTTCATTCTTGTGCAGAGCTTTTCTGCAAAGCTCATTCTGCAACTCTCTCTCTTTATAGTCTCGACAAAAGGCACACGCCCACGTGCACATTTCCCTAAGTGTGTAAGAAGATCTGTATCTATCTGGGGCAGCGAAAACTAAGCAGAGGAGAAGAGCTCTATTGCAAAGCATTGAATGTGAATGGGTAAAACTCACTCACTTCCTCTTTTTTACAGAAATATAGAGTGGTGTGTGGCAGCAGGAGGACTAAAATATCCATGTTTGTTAACAATAAGTGCACAGAACATCCTTTTTCTGTGTCCTAACATGTGCATGCGCGTCCTACCTCCCAGCACGCTGAGCGTTATGGCCTCCGTGTGTTCAGCCAGCAGATCGGCTTTGGCGATAGCAGCCAGGGAGAGATAACTGGACATGTTCCTGCTCAGCTCCCTGTTCCCTCGCTGCAGGAACCGCACTGCTACCGGGACGGCCAGCACCATGACTGACGGACAGCTGTAGTTCTGAGGGAACAAAAGGGGACAGGAAGTAGATGAGACAGCAATTATCATACATTCAGGGTAAGAAGGAAACACAGGGGGTCTTACTTAGGGAGTTGCCAAACAATTAATATTAACAGTAACTTATTTTCTGTTTGATGGGGATCCAGCTTTCTGGAGTCCTGGGTTTGCATACTGACACAAGAAAAAATCAATGTTCTGTCCTAACAGTGTTGACTTTTATTTCTTATTATTTGTCCTGGCCCAGATGCACAGTTGCCTGATCTTTGGAGGCACTGAGATTGTGACGTTAAAGGAATACTTCAGCCCCCACATAACCATCTGTATATCAGTTACTCACACTGTGTCACATTGAATTTGGGGAGTAAACTTTGTTTTTGTTTTTGTTGCATGCCTTAACCGTGAATGGAGCATCCATAAACAGAGAAAGTTCTCAATGAATGGGAACAACTGGGGACCGCATTCAACAACAGCAAAAATTGAGCTTAGTGTTAGTTCAGGCAGGACACAATGTCAAGCTCAGCTCACATCCCAGCTACATCAGCTGATCTCAAACAGCACAATCAACTGATGGAGCGGCTGATTGATGGAAGGAAGTCAGCTGACAGATCACATGATTCCTTTCTATGCAACCAATTGGTGAATCTCACTCAGGGCGCCCTATTTAAACTGCTCTGGCCTGCCTACTGTTGCTGCTTCCTCTGCAAGCCATTTTGCAACCTGCCTCCACCCCAGCTCCTCCTTTTCATGTTGTGTCTGACTTATCAATGTCATTTCTGTTCGTCACTGATGCTGCTCTGCTCTGTTCCAGAGGGGTCTTTGCTGCTGCTCTCCCTGCCTTAGGCTTTCCATGTAGACACATGGAAGGGCAGGGAGGTTTGCCGGCAGAGGGGCCCCAGAACAGAGCCATACCACCAAATAAAATCCTGCGCCAAATATAATATTGCAAACGTGAATTAAGTTTTCTTTGACAAAAGTGTTCCTGACTGAACTATATCAAAAAATCCATTTAAGAACTTTGATACAACTCCTGCAGTTTAATCCAAGTCTCATAATTCAAGTTTATCCATTCGTATGCTCAGTTCCTCCCAGACACATGCATTGTAGCTAAAATGTTACCATTTAAAACACTTCCACATACATAGCTCATGCGTGCTACTCCTCAATGCTTGAGATTGTTTATGCGGAAGTGTTTTAAATGGTAAGATCCACGTTTGGGAAGTTCTGAGTATACAATAAGACAAATGCGACTTAGGTTATACTGCACAAGTTGTGTGAGAGTGGATGCTTTGATATAGTTTTCCTGGTGGCACGGTGCAGCAGTGGTTAGCATCGTCGCCTCACAGTCTGTATATTCTCCCTGTGTCACCGTGGGTTTTCTCCAGGTACTCCAGCTTCCTCCCACAGTCCAAATACATGCAGGTTAACTGGTGACTCTAAATTGTCCGTAGGTGTGAATGTGAGCATGAATGGTTGTCTGTCTCTATGGGTCAGCCCTGTGACAGTCTGGTAACCTGTCCAGGGTTAGCTGGGATAGATGCCAGCCCCCTGTGACTCCCAACAGGATAAGCGGTTACAGAAAACGATTGAATGAATGTTATTGAATGCTGCTCCTTTTTACTTCAATTCATTGAAAATTCCTCCATTTTGGAAAATTCTTCATTCATCATGGAGACATGCATGAAAACCACATTTTCTTTACAGATTCAACGAAACACAGGGTGAGTAATTGACATAGAAATGGTAATTTTTCACACTCGATACACTAGACAGTGTGAACTGAGAATGTCCTCACTACTGTGAGCCACGCATCAAATAGATATTTTGTCATCTCAGGCAAAAAGCAGCGGCTACCAGCAGAATTTTCCTCAGTATGAGAGCCAGAAAGATTAAAACAGTCTCTAAGACAGATTTACATCACTGACATTTACTATGAGATTGAAGTATGAAGAGGAGATAAGTGTGTTGTATTGGAGGATGCAGACACATGCAGTTTGTCCCTGTGACCATTTACACAAGGAAGACTGAGGAAAAAGGATTTGAAATGCACTAGCACCCTCAACAGGACAGACTGATGACCATGTCTGTTTGAACATGCACATGTGTTTGTGTGTGACACAGACACAGAACGACGGAGGAAAAGAAACCCCCAAATGAGATTACTGCTGATCCAGACCCCCTCAGGCTACTATCCTTCTGGAAAAGGCAGAAGAGAGAAAGTCCCTCTGCTTTTAAGCCTTTTAGCTGCAGAGGTCTGATGGGAGAAAGTAGGCAAGATTCACATTTACATTTTCAAGACCCTCAGCAGTGATTACATAAATTATATTAGGTCCTTTGGATATGTTTTATGATGTTTCATTAATCTGCGATATTCACCGCACCCCTTGGACATTAGATTTTATTCTCACGTACACATACAAACTCAATGTTCTTCATCTACTTTGACCTCAGAATACCCAGAGTGCCTTTCAACCTGATTTTCACTGCTGTTGTGAAGTTTAAAAATTGTACAGCCTTATTCTCAGTGTGTCTGTCACACCTCTGTTCCGCCACTAGATGGCAATGCAGACAATGTATCCACAAAAACGTTATTATTCCACCAATCAGCATGATCCATCGAACAATCTAACCACATTCATTTAGCAAGTCCTATTTTTAATGTATACATACAGCACATTTTGGCTGCCATTGCATGTTTCTGATGTATGGATATACAGATTTATTTATTTCTCTCATCTCTCACACTGTTTCATCTTGTAAGGGAGAGTCACTTTAATCTCAAGCACAGCACTGATGAAGCAGTCCATAAAAAGTAAAGAGAAACACTCTATGCCATCATGAGCCAGAAATCTGTGGGGCACACACATGTGTGCGTGCGTTGCGCACAGGCAGCAAGCTAATGAAAACCTTCCTTCCTGCAGTTTGGTGCTTACTTTTTGCTCCTCTCTGTGGGAGTTTCAGTGGAAGGGTAAGAAGAGTGTTTGTGCATCTGCAGATTCAAAATGACAGGAAGACAAAGAGAGTAGAAGAAGATCAGAGAAAAGATAAAGATAGTTAGAGGGTAAGAGAAGCTAAAACAGAACGTGTGAGACGGGGAAATACTGTAGGTAGAATGAAATCAGGAGGAAAACAGATTGAGAGAGATGGAGAAAGAACGAGTGAATAGCTTCCTGATAACTGTTGGAGTTAAGACATCAGAGCCAGGAGCTGCTGTCAGAGCTGTCAGAACTTTTAGTCTCACCTCCATGTGTGTGTGTGTGTGTGTGTGTGTGTGTGTGTGTGTGTGTGTACGTGCCTTTCCTCTAGAATCAGTCTCATTACGATGGTATTAAGCACATTCCTGAAGGAAATGGAAAAAGTGGGAGACGATGAGAGTGAGAGTCCCTCTGCCTTTCGTTTGAGCTGTGGAAGTCTGATTGAGGAAGTGAGCAAGATTTTGACATTTACATTTACATTTTAAGGAACCTTCGGCAGTGATTACATAAAGTATATTTGCTATTGAAGAAAAATCTTATGGGGTGCCGTTTGTAAAGTGGTTCATGCTGAAAATAACATCAACATTTTGCCACATTTAGCTTCACACAATGTTTAAGTAAGTGTTGTGAATTTTTTAACGTCACCTTTTACCACATTTACAGCAATATTTGTTAACTTAGAAATATATTAAATAGTTAAATCTAAATATTAAATGTGGCACCTAAATGTTAAATGTTAAATCTAAATATTAAATCTACATCTAAATCTAAATGTTAAATCTAAATATTAAATGTGGCACCTAAATGTTAAATGTTAAATCTAAATATTAAATATAAATATAAATATAAATATAAATGCTAAATCTAAATCTAAATCTAAATGTTAAATGTTAAATCTAAATGTTCTGGGTGAAACTAAATATTTAGCTAATATGCAAATTCACACTGCCGGTCACCGGAAGTACCAAAATAAAAGCTCAAGATGGTCAGACTGTGTTTATAGAATCAAATAACGAATTAAAACCAACTTATCGGGGGAAGTGAACACTTGAACATACATTACCGTGATAATAACTACCTAAAATAACAAGAAATGTGTTTGGAGAAATTTTATTTGATGTGTACTTTGAGTTGTTAGTGTCCCTTCGGAGGGAATCACCTTGTTGTTTACAAATACTTCCAGGTAGAAAACCAGCGGAGTTTAGCTACATATATATATGTGCATATCTCATGTTTTTCACGTCACTATATCACCGTTTAGACTAATCTGGTGTTTGTAAAGTCTATAAGCACAATGATTGAACAAACATTACTATCACGTTCTGAAATTAATAACATGGTTATCGTAGATTAGCGGGGCTAACCGTTAGCTGTTAGCCCCGTCAGCGGTGTCTGTAATGACTCATTAACTCTAAACGGTCTGTGAAAAAAAATATTTTTTCCAGCGGATGTCTTAGTTACAACATGATTGAGCTAACTGGAGTAGTTTCATGTCATATCCGACAACGGGAGGCTTTTAACAGATGACGTCCTGATGTTAGCTTTGCTGCTGCTGCAGCCACTGATGCTTTCTAGACATCGTGATTTCCCAAAACTGAATAAATACCACACATCGCAACACAAAACTGCTTTGCTAGCTCAGTCATATTGTAACTAAGACATCCGCTGGAAAAAAATATTTTTTTCATGGACCGTTTAAGAGTTAATGAGTCATTACAGACACTGCTAACGGTGCTAAGAGCTAACGGTTGTTAGCTTAGCTTAGGTCGTTAGTCCCTCCGAAGGGACACTAACAACTCAAAGTACACATCAAATAAAATTTCTCCAAACATGTTTCTTGTTATTTTAGGTAGTTATTATCATGCTAATGTATGTTCAAGTGTTCACTTCCCCCGATAAGTTGGTTTTAATTCGTTATTTGATTCTATAAACACAGTCTGACCATCTTGAGCTTTTATTTTGGTACTTCCGGTGACCGGCAGTGTGAATTTGCATATTAGCTAAATATTTAGTTTCACCCAGAACATTCAGATTTAACATTTAACATTTAGATTTAGATTTAGATTTATGTTTAGCATTTAGATTTAACATTTATATTTATATTTAATATTTAGATTTAACATTTAGATTTAGATTTAGCATTTAGATTTAGATTTAATATTTAGATTTAACATTTAACATTTAGGTGCCACATTTAATATTTAGATTTAACTATTTAATATATTTCTAAGTTAACAAATATTGCTGTAAATGTGGTAAAAGTTGATGTTAAAAAATTCACAATACTTTTTTAAACATTGTTTGAAGCTAAATGTGGCAAAATGTTGATGTTATTTTCAGCGTGAGACACTTTACAAACGGCACCCCATAAAATCTCACCTTTGGATATGTTGCATAATGGATGTTATAATTTACACTTGTGCATCCACTTTCCCTCAACCCTCCTTATCTACTTATACTTGAGAACAAAGTCTTGCATCACGGGCAACCCACAAAAAGTTGCGTAAAAGGTAAAAAATGTATTTGTATAAATTCATATACATGGGCACGGGTAAAATTAGCTAATTGCAGGTGGACAGTGAGTGAGAACAATGAAAAATATTTATTTTTTCTGGAAAAATCAAAGATGAAAAGAACAGTGAGGTGTTTTCAATATCCTAAATCAGCTGATATCATCAAGCCTAATCGGCCACCAATTGTAAAAGACTACGACACAGCCAGTTTTCTCCATTCGTGACATCCAAAGCTGCCAGTCAAAGTGACTTTTCCTCAGCTGGATTTGTGATTTACGAACAGACGACCCAGCTTAAAACAGGGACTGTGGGTGATATTCTTTTTCTGCACAGCAACCTCAGAGTCGATGATTAATTCTGCCAAATAGGCTACAGTTAATTATGAATGAATTGATGTTACATGTTCCAATTGCACAGTAAAAAGAGTAAAAATAAGGCACTTTAAAATGGAGTCACTGTGAGTGTTTAATCACAGGTCAGGTCGCAGGACTTATATTAACAATCTGGGCGGATGAGGATTTGACTTGGATATAACTGCAGGTCATGGGTTGATTCTGGTACTGATCTTTGCAGGGGCAGGCAGGTGGGGGTTTGTAAAACTAGACCCATGCAAGACTCTGCTTCCCAGTATCTGGAATGCCTTTCAACCTGACCTGTGTTGTAGCTGAAAAGTAGTTCCAATAGACAGTTGAGAGATCGTAGTTTATTGTATGGCTGTTAGCTACAGCACTGAAGCTTAGGTTTAGATCAGTGGTTCCCAACCTGGACGGATGATTAATGAGACAAAGAAAAAATGTTTTGTAACATTTCTCTTGTCATTGGTTTTGGGTTGTTATGTTTTCGCCTGTTCTTCCCATTCTCGTGAACATGATATCTCAAGAACACCTTGAGAATATTCCTTAAACTTAGCAGAAATGTCCACCTGCACTTAAGGATAAACTGATTCAGTTTGGGCAGTCAAAGGTCAAAGGTCAAGGTCACTGTGAGCTCATCTGTCTAACTTGTGAATGCAATATCTCAAGAACAGCTTGAGGGAGTTTCAAACACAAATGTCCACTTGGACGGCAAAAAAAAATGCTTCAAATTCGGTGGTCGAAGGTCAAGGTCACTGTGACCTAACAAAACATGTTTTTGGCCATAACTCAAAAATTCTTACGCTAATAACGACAAAATTTCACACAAATGTCTAAAAGGAAATAATGATGAGGTTTTAACATTTTATATTAAAAAGGTCAAAGGTCAGCTTCACTGTGACATCATAATGTTCTGCATAAAACACTTCTCTGGCCATTATTCAGCATCATATCTCAGGAACAGAAGGGGGACATTTGTTCAGTTACTGAACTGGTCACACTAATCTGGGGTGACCTTGAGACTGTATTTCTTTTTTTGCCGGGGTGAAGACATCTGTGAAGCCTCCAGGTTTTCACAGACATGGATGTAAACTGTAGAGAAACTTGACTGGTGCATAGAGGCACACAACTGCAGGGCAATAATTCTAGTTTTCCTCTGAGATTTTGGATAGTTTTAACTCATCAAGCCTCCAATAGTTTTACAGATTGAACAAACTGGTTTTAGGTTTTAGAGAAGAAACTCACATTATGTCCGCCTCATTGTCTCTTCTTGAGCTGCTTCTACCTCTAGTTCACTACTGATTTCAGGATTGTCATAGTCAGATGGATATTTTTGGACAAAGTTGAACAATGTGCCTTGGTATGTGCGTTTCATATCTGTAGTTATGCGTGTCTGATTAGCTAGCTAACGCCACTACCTGCAACCTTGCTCTGCAAGATGTGCACTGATACACATCAGACTGTGGCCAGTTTTAGGTATACGGGAAATGCCCCTGATCAGGGGTGTGTATAAGCTGTAAACCAGTTTATATGTGCCACAACACATCTGGTGTCAAGCAACAGAAAGGTTAAGAACTCTTAATATCTTCGTTTAGAGTGCAAATTTAGTCTAATTTAGTATTGAAGTATCACATTACATAGAGTGTTATTGCGTACAGTGACACATTTAAAATACTCTGCATATTAAATTGGCTGTTCCTCAAACTTGTGCCACACTTGTGCCAGTGTGGCCCTTTTACACCACGTGGGCAAACTCAATTTCTCACGTGTCGACAGGTATGCGTAAAGGTATGTACTGTATGTGCAGTTTGAGCTTCAGGCAAAACAAATAGAGAAGTACTTGGGATAGAACACTACAAAACAATGTCGTGTATGTGTGCATGTGTGTGTGTGTACCTGCAGGATACAGCTGGTGATGTCGGACGCTATCTTGGCATGCGGCGTGTCTTCTGTGTTTTCACCTTGAGGGGTGAGGTTGTGCTCAAGACATGACTCCCACAGCCCCACCAGCGCCGTGCTGTGTTGCTCGATGGAGCCCGTCTCCCTTATGGCTGTGGTGATGCGCGTTATGCAAATCTCCACCACTGCCTGGTCATTGTCATTGGTCAAATAGTCCTGTCAGCCAGCAGACGGTGAGAGCATACAAAATTAAGGACATACCGGGCGTGATAAATGAAGGACAAAGAGATGAATTATGGATAAGAACATGAATGATTAATTAAAAGTGAAATTCATCCTGTAATATCTAGGATAAGTGTCGTCTATGCGTGTTGGTTACGCCTACTGACCGGTGAGCAGGAGATGGCCTTGATCTGGTCCAGAGCCTGAGACAGACAGGATTCGATCTCTGTGTCCTCCAGAGAAAACAGATCCCCCGCTCTGGATAGATCCCTCTGCCCCAGCACCTGGCTGAACAGCTGGTGCATCCTGGTCCTGGTGTAGGACTCCTTTCAGTCCAGTTTGGGACTGGTGCTGCTCGATTAAGAACCCTTAATTGAGACTGAATATATCCCTGACATAATTATCAAGGAAGGGAAACTTTTAAACACAGTCCTGGTTCTCGGGCACAATTTAGAGAGTATACAAAGTCCAAGTCTGCATTGTGATCCCAAAAGATTAGAAAGTACATCTACTAAAACAACAAATTTTCTAGCAGTATTTTAGGCATTCTGGGTCCTTGAATGCACCTTAATTGGTAAAATAACTACAGGAACTAATTGAGTACATGACTAATATTTGAAGAATGATTCATTGCTTGAATTCTCGTTAAATCCTCTTCAGCACAGTCCAGGATCAGGTAGGTTGGACAGGAGTGGACCAGTTTGGCCCGATGTTTTTCTGGGTCTGCCTGAGGCCCGTTACCATGGAGACAAGGCATATTCTGGAGAAGGCAGTCTGTCTACGGCAGAGTCCTGAAGGAGAGAGGGGGAAATGAGAGGGAGATTAAATTAGCAAAAGAGAACTAAATGCTGAGATATTCATTTTGTATACAAATATTAATATTCAGGCAAAAAATAGACTGAGCTGCTGAGAGTGAGAGATTCCAATGTGAGCAAGGAACAAGAGGTGTAGAGGTTTAATTCGTGACGTTTCAGTGATTTCTGGTCTCAAGAAACAGACTTGGACAACTTGGACAACCGAGAAACAGACTTACAGTAGTGGATGCAAGACAATATTAAAGGATTAGTTCAACACCTTCTACCTTCTTCCTAATATTTAGACAAGAAACAAAGAATAAAGAAATTGGGACCGCTGTTAAATATGAAACTACTATCAGCAGTCAGTTAGGTTAGCTTAGCATCGGGGGGAGAAACAAGAAAGAGCAAGCTTCAAGCACCTTGCTGCACATCAGGGGTACAGGTGGGATGCTGGCTGACATGCCCATGCATTTTCCGACCAACACATTCTCACTAAAATCTCGTCACATATTGACGTGTTTGGTCATGGACTTTTCACGTCCAGATACGATGTGCAAGGTACCCTGGGTGTGTTGGTCGCTGACGTTCTGGGACAGTCAAGTTCTGCCTGTTACATACAGTCTCTTTCAAAATATACACACTACAGCTGTACAACACCACAAATTGACGTTTTATTTCCTTCAACAACAAATGCACGTGGTTATGTTTCGGAAAAAAGAACAGGATTTGGCTTTAAAATGTTACAGGGTGCAAACATCGCTCTCCTGGGTGAGAGTCGTTTTTTGTTGTACCCATCAACCACCCTTTCCGCTCACCCCACTTGGACTTCCATCGCTTTAACTTCTCCCGCAGCGTTACCATCTGACACAGCCAGGCATCGTGTAACTATTGCTGGCGATGCCTTGCTTTCAAACAGGCTTCATGTGAAAAATAACTTTAAATTGTGACTGCACGACATGAGAAAGATAAAATCAAGCGGCAACTTCCAGAGCTGTAAAATGAAGCCAACATGGAAATGCCAAAACTGCAGTTCTTTGAATGGCCACTTGAGGCTGGCTCCAGAAGTAAGTCATTCCCCATAGACTGCCATGTTACATGTTACAACATTACAGGGGAAATAAACAAGTTTACAGCCTGGTACAAAAATATTTTTGGACTTAAGAACTAATTTCAACATTCATGACAACTGCACATGGGGGGATTTTCATAAAAGTCAGCCATTTACTTTTTATTAAGGCTTAAAGTCATGCATAATTAAGGGCATGCCCACTTTGAATGAGAGGCTGTCTGCTGTCTGCACTTCGGGTTCACTGGGATGACGATTAAATTGTGCAGCCCTACATACTACAACAATGTTAGAAGTATCTCAAAAATGTCTGCTCAAGCACTCTTACTACCGTCCTCCTGCCTCCATCCCTCCCACAGCTTTCTCTTCTTCTGTTTTCCACTTTCTAGAGGTGCAGCAAGTGTCAGTTAATAGGTGAACTAAATAACTCACTGCTACAAAACCGTACATACCTACCAAAATGCACACACACATGCACACATGCATGCATGCATGCACTCTGGGAATGTGTGACTACAGTTTCACAGAGGTGTTTGCTTTAACTGTGCAGCCTCGGGGACATTCTGGGTGAAGTTATATTGTTTGGTTCAGGGTTCAGAGCATATTTGACACTATGGTGGGCTCAAATTAAACACGTGACCCCTTTGGAATAAAAGGTCAAAACAGTATTTTAATTAAGAATCTTCAAAAAAGGTTTTAACTGTGTTCAGGCTCCTAATGTGGTTTTCAGTATTTATTTATTTATGTATTACAATACAATAATTTATAATGTTAAAATGGTTCAATAAGAATAAACAGTGCTCTACCTTTAAGTATCATGAATGGAGTCAGAGTTGTGGGAAGTCAAACGCACTATGTTAACCATTATCGCTGTTTCTGTGAACCTCAATTAAACATTAAACGCCAGGAGGGGCAACCGGAAGGACGGAGGGCAGACTTGCATATAAATACACAAATGTACAATTGACATATGCTTGTTTCTGTATCTCTGGCTTCACACAATGAAAAACCCATCTGTCCTCCCACATAAAAACCTGCACTCACACACACTGTTATGTCTTTATGGAAATATTGTGCAAGGAGGAAACACACACATTCCAGTCTGTCTGCTGCCTCCCTTCAGAGGATGAGCAGCTAAGCGTATGTATCTGTGTCATCATTGTCTATTTGCTGCACCCGCTTTTCTCTACAGTCAGACGTCATCTTGTCCTCACACACCATTTCTCTGAAAGTCACATTGGAGCGAGTCCAAGCTAGACCAAAGGAAGGCACAAAGCGGAGCACTTGGGAGACCGTTGTCTCTCCTGCCAAGCCGGTGATGACCATGGAAACCCGCCCATTGCCAGGATACCACATCAGGAATTCTTATTGGTCCGAGCCAGGCTGCTGGGACCAAAACAACAAAACAACCATAAACACAGAGTGAAGCAATTTATCTGTCACACACAGACAGAGTCACACACACACACACACACACCTATTATCCTTGTTGTGTAGAGCAACAACCAGAGCTATTTCTGTGCATGGCTGGAGGTGCAGTGTGTTGGAGAGGTATCAGTCACCAATTACCTGCAACATGTTCTGTACATATACTGTATATCTCTCTATTATCTTGAACTTTATGACACAACAAGATCTATAACTTAAATTACAAGTCAATTAGGTGCACCTAGCTAAACCTACTCTAGTTTAAAGGCTCATTTAGGCTCAACATTAGATATGTATATGGACAGGGACAGATCCTTCTGTCTGTACACGGATATGGGCAATAAACCAGGGCAGTACCACCAGAGATCTGGGGCAGTGTAGCATATCTTAAGCGAGACACAACTGTAGGACATGACAAAGACATTTTAAAAATGGCGGAACAGGACGAATTAGTAATATAGTGAAAGGCATTCTCTGTCCACATGTTGGGATGTATTTAATGGGCTCATGGACCACGTGTCAGTGAAGATTCTTAGTCATTCAGGTCATGGTAATCTTACATGCTATATCGTAGGCAACTGGACTTGCTTGAGTTTCTTGAAGATGTTTCACCTCTTATCCAAGAGGCTTCCTTAGTTCACAACCGAAGAAGCCTCTTGGATGAGAAGTCGTCAAAGCATCTTCAAGAAACTCAAGCAAGTCCAGTTGCCTACAGTATAGCACTTGAGATAACCTTATAGACCACCAGCGTCTACAACGCTGCCCCTGTTAAAAGGTACCTATAATGACCTCCTCCACCTTTGCCATGTTTGTTTTTGTCAGTAACTTTTGAGTCTGCCATGTAGTGGATGTATCTATGCCAACATAAAGAAAACACGGAAGTATGTGGGCAGTGACACAACATTTGAAATAACTGTATTTTCATCTCAGACGCATGATAATAAATAGATACCGGACCCTGCCATGGCGCCTTTCCAATGGAGTTGCTCGCCTGGTGCATACGCCCAGAAAAGCTTCTAGCTTCAGGGTTAAGTGATCCACTAAAAATGCACAGTAATGTTTCTCCCACTGGCTCAGCCCGCAAGTTCCCGCTTGCCTCACAGACTTCATATTGCGATAATGTCACAAATTTCATTTTTCTCAGCTTGAGGAAGGTTTACGACCATGGATAAAAAATGCAAAATAAGACAAGTCATAACTGCCTTTGATTTTAGTTCAAGGTGTCCTGTCAACAGTCTCACAGACCTCTCTTTTACAACTGGTGGTCTGTTAGGAAAATGCCTTTTAGGCTGGAGGGGATTTTTTTTTGCTGCAATACCACGAGTGGCCACTGGGAAAAAACTGGAAGTAAGGCTGGGCTGCGCTCCTGTGGGCCTGATTTCTGTACGTAAAGTGAGTATAAATGTGCCTTAATACAACAGATCTGCAGTAAATCCTGATTTCATGAAGGTTATAATGTTCATTTCCTGGTAAAACTGTTTAACAGAGATCGTGCATTAGGGCTGCCAACAAGTCCCCTCTTTACACCACCTGTGCATTTCTACATAGAAAACAACAAAACAACGGCAGCATCATGTTGCTCTACTGTGTGGTTTTACAGCAGGCCGGTATCACGGAAATGAAAGAGGTGTGATGGGCGTGATGTATACCACCACAGCATCAGCCTCTGGTGTGACATATAACATACACGTCAGCAGCACTTTATAAACAATAACAATGACATTCGCACGGGAATAACAATCATTTACCCTAATTGTTATATGGTAGCTGATCTCGTCCTCTGCTCTGAAGGAGCTCCCAGACCTCATTGTTTTCCCAGTTTGCGGACATTTTCAGCTGCTTTGAGTTAGCTGCTAACTGCTACTGATTGCTTTTTAAATCTACAACAGTGGGTCACATGCATAACACAGCCTCGAAATGTCACACCTGTGATTCCATCCTGCTGGCTGTCCCTTTAACAGATGCCGGCTTAAAGGTGAGACAACTCTGTCCCCCCACTCAGCAATTGTACCTTTTATACAGAAAGGCGATGTGACATAACAGAGTGAAATTTCCGCTTTAAAAAGCTTGTTTTGACCAGGAAAAAAGACGGAAAAAGAAAGGAAGCTAGAAAGAAAGAAGGTAAAACGCAGAGGGAGAGAGATGTAGAGGATCAGAGAGTGACAACAAAGAACAAAAACAAGAAAAGAAACACCAGGAGAAGTGCAGGAATGAGAGCTGGGCACAAACTGAGAGTAAAAGGAAAGACAGGGAGCAACAGAGGAGCTGACAGAGACAGAGAACCAGAGAGAGACACAGCCAGAGGTGGATAATGTTTCGCTGTCCTGAATTCCCTGTGTAACCTGCAGACAACTCGCATACTGAGCTGCCATTATTCTACCTGAATGCCTCATACACAAAAACTCACACTCATACACACACACACATACATACACTTGTACAGTTTGATATTTCCACATTGCCATTCTCTCTCTGCTCACTAGTGAACTGTTGCGTTTAT